TTTTCCTGAGTTTGTTTCCCTGTTGGAAACACTTATCAACCAGGGTGAGGAATCTTCTAACCACGCTGTTAGTGACATTTTTTACTGAAGGGAGGGGGGGGGGGGGGTTAAACCAGAGGATGTTGTTACGAGGTCTGTTTGTTCTTCTTCTTTCCGTGGGGGGTTCGAATTTGAGGTGATAATCATATCCACTTTGATTTAGAGCTGTCTGGTAGGGTGGCGCGGCTAGATCAAAGTGTTTTTCGTCTGATGAAAGATATGACAATCGTTTGTTGATTCCTGCCGGTATATTCTATGTACGTATAGTGGGTGGCTGTTGGGTTTAATATATGGATTGTAAAAGCTGTCAGTGAGGTTGAATGTGACGTCCAGGAAGTTGACAATATTTTTATTAGCTTCGATTGTGACTTTCAGACCGTGTAGTTTGAAAATATGACAGATGGCTTTTTTTATTCTTTCAGTTTCTTTGGGTGTGTTGTCTACAGCGGCTAAGCCATCATCTCTGTACGGCTGATCATTTTTCCGCAAATATCATGCAGCTGTGACAATAAAAAGCATCCAACTAATTCACACGTCTCTGCGCCGTCGAAACTGCCCATACCGGTAGTTACGTCGAATGAGCAGGTGCTCTTCTTCTGCCAGTAGTGGCCATTATGTAATAACAGAGACTTTTTTGAATGTAGAATAATATTTATTTCTTCTTCCGAAATATGGTCGTATGAAGAGGCGAAGTGTAACGCTTTGAGAAGAAGATCTTGGTTAATGGATGGGTAGAATTCTACTATATCAAAGCAAATAAAACGATGTTTTTCTTTGTGTTCGATTTTGTTGAACCATTCTATTACAGATGCGGTGTTTTTCCATTGGTTTGTTCTTGTTTCTATAATAATTTTCTTATTGATCCTGTCTAAAATTTGTTTACTTACTTTGCCGATTTCTGGTTTGGTAGGGTTTATCAATTTGCACGCAGGATTATTTGCAAAGTTTGGTTTGTGGTCTTTCAGGGTGATGAAGGCCTCTCTATTTGCGGTGACGTCGACGCGGTCATCGATGTCTAATTTCACTGCAATATTCTTGTCTTCTTGTCTAATTTTTCTAGCTGTATCTTCTGTGGTTTTTTTGTAAGACTTAGTTATGTTTTTCTCCAGTAGTTTTCTGTACGTTGTTGGGTCCATCTTGTAGAAGTTTGTTGTTTTGTCGGCCGGTACAGTCAATGTGCTGCTGTTTTTGACTCCCATGTGCGAAGCACAAAATGGGAGTCTTTGCAGTTAGTGTGTCTGTATGTGTGTATGTGTGTATGTGTGTATGTGTGTATGTGTGTCCGACTGTTCCACTGCTATCTCAAAAACCATACATCGGTTTTTGAGGAAACTTGGTGCATAGATGCTCTGGGCCAATGCGCAGATTTGATTAGGTTTTGGTAAAAATCCATGCTCGTTAATTACCTAATTTGCATGATAATTAGCTAATTTTTAGCTGTTCTATGACTGTTCCACTCATATCTAAAGAACCACTCATTGGATTTTGATGAAACTTGGTACATAGATGCTCTGAACATATGCGCAGATTTGATTAGTTTTTGGTAATAATCCGTGGATACTAATTACCTAATTTGCATAATGATTAGTCA